TAAACATTTTTTTGATGTTTTGAGCTCTTTTGTCTTTAGAACAATATATACTAGTTTTTAAAGTCTCAAACTGAATCTTTGTTCAATAAAAATCTTTCAAATGTAACTGTAGCTTTTTTTCCCCAAAACTTTGTCTTCAAAATAAGGGTGCGTCTTATATTCCGAAAAATACGGTAAATACGTTTTTTAGTTTGTACTATTCAAACATGAATTAGTTCATGTTGCAAGTCAAATGTAATAAAGTCGTATAAATTACTTTTTTTTCTCCAACAGAAATTGTTCTTCCAACAGTCCACTGAATTGAAAACCCTTGCTAAAGAAAACTGTATACTCATAAAGGTAAACTAAACTGCTTTTATATCAAAAGTACACGTAATAATTTTACAGAAAAACAAACAGTATATGATTAAAATACTAATCATTTCGAGTGGATTCTCGGTATGCAAAACAGATATAATAAAATTTAATATACTTCCTGCTTGCGAAGTGTACTGCAGTGAAGCTTTTTGTTACTACTTTTTTTTTGTTATTTCCTGCTACCGTAGGGTATTTATGTGGTTGAGTAGAACACGCCAGGTGTTGCACCATGGTGTTATGTAGTAACAAAAAACCGACCATAAAAATCGCAAAACGAAGACTACAGTGTTGAACATTTGCACGTTTGTCCGAAATGAACCTTCAATCAAAATTTGGTGAAGATCTCTTAAAAGGGGGCGAGGTAGAGGTACGAAATGCAAAACTTACCATAACAACTGTAAAACGAAGAGTATAAAGGTGAAAATTTGCATTTATCTATGTAACGAACTAGTGAATATGTATATATATATATATACCATATTTCGTGAAGATCCACCAATTCAGTACCCTACGGTAGCAGAAAATCGAAAAAGTAGTAATAAAAAGCTTCAGTGCAGTACACATACGCAAACAGGTAAGCCAATAAAGTAGTAACAAAAAAACCGACCATAAAAACAAGAAGAAAAAAAAACCGAAGATTACAAAGTTGAAAATTTGCATGCATATGCGCAATGATGCAATCAATCTTCAATCAAAATTTGGTGAAGATCCCTTGAAAGGGGCGAGGTAGTGGTACTAAACCATAACAACTGTAAAACAAAGAGTATAAAGGTGAAAATTTGCATGTGTTTGCCCAACGAACTAGTTAACCTACATACCAAATTTGATAAAGATCCACCAATTCAATACCTTGCGGTATCAAGAATCGAAAAAGTAGTAATAAAAAAGCTTCCCTGCAGTACATGTACGCAAGCAGGGAAGCCAACATAGTAGTAAAAAAAAATCTTCACGGCAGTACACATATCCATACAGGGAAGACAATAAAGTAGTAAAAAGAAACCTACCATAAAAACCACAAAACAGAGACTAGAAAGTTGAAAATTTGCATGTACCTGCACAATGAACCTTCATTCAAAATTTGGTGAAGATCCCTTGAAAGGGGGTGAAGTAGTGGTACGAAATGCAAAACTTACCATGGCCCGGTAGGCAGGGAGCTTGACTCGCAATTTGAGGGTCGCGGGTTCGAATCCCCATCCCACCAAACATGCTCGCCCTTTCAGCCATAGGGGCATTATTATGTAATTGCCAATCCAACTATTCGTTGGTAAAAGTGTAGCCCAACAGTTGGCGGTAATGACTAGCTGCCTTCCCTGCTAAATTAGGAATGGCTAGCGCAGATAGCCCTCATGTAGCTTTGTGCGAAATTCAAAACAAACCAAACAACACAATTTCAGTTATCACAGAATGAAACTACTTTACCTCAATCTTATTGTAAATCCTAAACATTTAACTTACGATGACACAAACAAAATAACACTGAAAATAATCTATTCCAACTTTGAATCCGTTATTGAATATTTTTACAGTATTCAATATGGCTGCACATATCTTTGTATACCTTTGGACGTAAGGCTATTTTGGAACCGAAAACTTAATGTTTTGGGGTAACATAATTATAGTGGAGATAACGGCTGTAAAAATACGTAATACTGTACCAGTGTGGTTCTTTAGGGGTTTACTTTATTTGATAATTTGTATATATATATATATATTACTGAAAATACATATATATATATTTTACTGAAAATACATGTGATGGACGAGTCAGTGGTGCAGTTTTACTGTCGAGAGTCTAATTTCAGAATTGACTAATGAAGGTTTAAATAATAACAATCTCCTGTTAAAAATGAATGCATGACAGTACCAATTGCTCTACTGAAATGTCCATGTAAATATAGTGGTTTATATTTTAACGTTAACATTCCAGAACATTAATTTACTTGAAGATGAGCAGGAGAAACTGTTGGCAGAGACATCACAATTAAAGACAGAGATACAGAAAATGACTTGCCAAATGAAGAATTAAAGGTAAGCAGCTTATAGAAACAACCAGATACACTGAACAATATCATATTATGCAACATTAAAATTTCCTAGTTAATTTTAACTTAACCATTATCGTTTAGCGCAGCTGTGTGTTACTTTTTATAGAATTGTGGTACGCTTACTTCTGACATCAAAGAGCAGAAAAACTCAACACAAAATCAGTGGCATATTTGCGTTTCCTTAAGACTTCTGTCGTATGTTTACTTCTCCATAGGAAAAATCAACTTCATTTTATTTTCTTCGCTTCTCAATAGATTTCAGGTATACGCTCGCATACTTCAACATTTTCATAGTAACTTGTCGAATCGTGCGAGTGCTTCTATCAGTTATACAAGACAAATTTATGCAACCTGCAACAGTCAAACTAAGTTGAGTGAAAAATATCACAATAGTATCATAGGCGCAAGCTTCGTAGGTACTTCAGCATCTAAGATTTATTGGAGCCAGTACCACTGAGTGCCCTGAAGCTGTGCAAAAATATATCCAGCATCCCCACTTATTTGAAGAGTTGGCTCTAATACATAGTATACACATGCAGATATCAAGTGTGATGCAACTACCTAGATAATTTTCCCCCTCTCC